TGGCAGCTGGTCCCTTACCTTGTATAAGAGGGCACAGAGTTTGCGGGGAAGCCGCGCACACTCCCCTGTGTGTTTTAGGGCCTCTCTACGCATTTAACAACACAGACTGAGCTGTGGGTGCACGTCAATAGTCACACTGCCTCGTTTAGGGAATAATGACAAGAAGAAGTGTCTGGGCTTATTTACTACGGACACAACTTTTTGTTTTCCTCCCCTGAATATTTTTGATTCCTGGTTGGGTGACACCACAGACGGGGGACCTGTGGGGAGGGAGGGGGGGGCTGCATTTGAAAGCATCGTATCATTTTATTCATGGCCCCTTCAGCCGGTTCCTTTACAGATTTGGACTCCTTGGAAAAAAGCCTCCCAGGGCTGAGGGTGCAGCTCAGCTCAGGTGGCAGAGAGAGCCCCCAGCACGCATGCGCCAGGCCTGGGTCGCCTGGAGAGCAAATAAAAACCCGGACACACGGGGCCATCATTTCACCTAAAATGTGGAAATACAAAGAAGGCTTCCTAACATCGTCCCTGCCCAGCGTCCGCATTTCAGTGGTATCTACAGTTATGGGATATTAGAGAGGCCACGATTTGGGTGGGGTGGGCACCAGGGATGGAACCCAGGGCGCTTGACCACTGAGCCCCACCCCCAGCCCTTTTTAATATTGTATTTAGAGACGGGGTCACGCTGAGTTGCTTAAGGGCCTCGCTTTTGCTGAGGCTGAGTTTGAACTCGCGATCCTCCTGCCTCAGCCTCCTGAGCCTCTTAAGCGGACCCGTGTGTGCGGCCCACGGGACGCGCCGGCCTCTCTGCACGTCTGTCTCCCGGGGCCGGGGGATGGCACCCAGGGCCCAGCCTGGGCTGGAGGGCGCGCGCCCACTGAGCGACATCCCTGGCCCCAAAGAGGCGCATCCCCTGCCCCCACCTCCATCCCCACCATCCGCTGCAGACGACCCTGGGCCGCGGGGCAGTTGGGGTGGGCCGGTGAGGGGGCGTCCACACTTCTGCTCGCCAGTCTACCCCGCTGACTCTGCTCCCCGCGGGTTGCACAAGCCCTTTTGCACACAAAGGCGTTGAATTCGGAAGAGAAGGGTTTTCCCCATGAATCATAATGGCCCTGGGTCACAGCCCAGCCCGTTTCCTTCCCCACGGCCACTTCCTCTTTTGCACACGCGGAGCCGCGCGCTGAGAACCCGGGGAGCCCTGAGAACCGGGGAGCCCTGAGAACCGGGCGGGGCTGCCGGACTCCGGAAGGAGCCGCGGTGGGGGCACAGCGACCCCTGGCGGGCGACCGAGGGTGGACAGAGCTGGCGCACGGGGGACGGGGCTCTGACCAGGCTGTCCCCTCCTGCTGGAGGTTTGGGTTCTGTTCCCAGCTCGTCCATTGAGACCTCGCTGCTCTGCACCCTGGCTTCCTCATCTGTAAAATGGGGATGATCGGGTATTTCACTCACAAAACCGACGCGAAGATAAAACAAGGCAATAAGCCGAAAGCATTCGGCACAGGCAGGGCGTATAATAAGTGCTCGATACGCGATTATCCTACTTCGTCTTATTACACTGAGCTCCAGGCCACCTCTTCCGCAGGACTGAGCTCCCTGAGAGGGGGAGCTGCTTGCTCGTGTCCCCCATGCCCAGTCAAGTTCATGCATCAGACTTTGGGGGCACAGTGACTGCTCCATGCACCTCTCTCAGGGACGGAATGGAGGCCACCAGCTCGGGGGCAGGTTGTGTAGAGTGGGCACCCTGCACTCCGTGGGTTCTGAGCCCTGGTGCCGGGGTCTCCGCGGTGGAGAGTGCCCTGGCCCTGCCCTCCCAGGGCTCAGGTCGGGTGCTCAGGCTGACCCGCCCCCAGGGATGAGCAGAAGAGGCAGGGCTGGGTGGATGGACACAGGGGACTGACCCAGCCCGGGAGTCAGGGCTGCCTGGCGGAGGAGGAGGCGTGGACTGACACCTGAGCTGCGAGGGGCAGAGGGAGGGAAGCTGTGTCCTGGGAGCAGGCTCCGGGCAGCGGGAAGAGCGTGGAGGGTCTGCGCTGAGATGGGGCAGAGAGTTCTGGGACCAGAAAGAGGTCCCTTCCTCCAGCCCATGACCACAGAGTGGGGGCGAGGGGCAAGGAGGGCTGACCAAGAGGTGGACAGGCCCCTAGAACGCAGACCTCGAGGGCGCTGCAGGCTGTGACCCTGGACCGTGGGGGAATAGGAGCTGTGAATAGTTCTATGCAGGGACGGGCAGGTCCAATTGGGTTTTAAAAAGACCCCTGGGACGCCTTGTGGTGGGAAGAGACCTGGAGGAGGCTGGGCAGACAGGGGAGAGAAGCTGCCTGGCTCAGGGCTGGGCTGTAGGAACTGGGAAGGCCAAGTTCAGGAGCCGTGGGCGTGCCTGCCACAGCCCAAGCAAGTGAGTGAGGCGCCCATACTTTGGGCCCTGTACCTGGGTGGGCCCTCTGGGTACCCAGGAGGGCGGGGGAGGCGCCAGGCACCTTGTGGCCTGTAGATCTGGGCGGTCCTCTGCTGCCCCCTGCTGGCGCAGCCTGGCTCCTGTCATGCCTCTGTGTGGCAATGAGGAAACCGCTCAGTGAGCGCAAACCCCAACCAGGGACAAAGGTGATACTTCTTGAGTGACATCGTGCCAGGCTGCAAGGCTCCTGGTCTCCACTCCCACACCCAACCTGGGTCCCCAGCTGCTCTCGCCTTCCAGCAGGCCGAGACTGGCCTCTCAAGTCCCATCTCCTCTGTCTCTCCCTCCACCTCTCCTTTTTAAAAAAAAGCTTTAGTGTGCGTGTGTACGATTTTTTTTTTTTGAATTGGGGATTGAACCCAGGGGTGCTCTACTATTGAGCTATAATCCCCAGCCCCTTTAATTTTATTTTGAGACAGGGTCTCTTTGCGTTGCCAAGGCTGGCCTCAAATTTGTGATCTTCCTGGCCCAGCCTCCTGAGTCGCTGGGATTACAGGCGTGGGCCACTGTCCCTGGCTATTACATTTAAATCTGCTTTTGTTGTGATGAGGGAAGGGATCCCACCTGCCTGGACAGTGGTGGCAGGAGCCTGTTTTACCTGCTGGGGTGGCTGTAACAAGGAACTGGAGACCTGGTGGCTTAAACTTTCTTTGCAGATGTGGAGCTGGAAGTCCAAGGTGGAGGCTCAGCAGGTGTGGCTCCCCCAGGCCCCTCTCCCTGCTCGCATAGGGCCACTCCCTCCTGGTGTCCTCAGCTGGCCCAGGCCCTGTGGGCACCCATGCCTGGACATTCTCCCTTGTCCTATAAGGACCCTAAAGCTACTGAACCAGGACCCACACTAGGTCCTGTAACCTTCATGACCCCTGTAGAGGCTCTCCAAATACGTGGGCCTTCAGGTTAGGGATCTGGGGGTCACCATTCAGTCCAGGCAGAGCCGGTATCAGGGGCTGACAGAAACACTGCCTGGATCAGAGAATCTACCCTAGAAGATGCTGCGTCTTGGGGTGGGATCGTGGATCAGGCTTCAGAAGGAGCTGGGCATCAGGGCAGCTGAACCCTCTGACCTTGCCCCCTGCTCTGTCCACGGCCCTCAGCTCTAACTGCCTTCCCCTGGGGCTTTGTCTCAGCCACTGACCCACCAGGGCTCCCTCCCCGACGTCTTCTGGAGCCTGAGGCACAGGTGGAGGGGGCTGGCGGACTCTAGGGCAGGAGCCCTGCTGGGCTGTGGCTTCTGCTCACGCCCCATTGGCCTGAAGTTGGTCACGTGACCAAGCCTAGCTGCAAGGGCACCTGGGAAATGTGGTTTTTCTGGCCAGCACCATGTGCCTGGGGAGGACCTGGGGAACCGGAGGGGCGGGTGGGGAGCTTGGTGAGCAGCTGCTGCCCAGGGGGGGCCGCAGGGCCCCGTCCAGGTCCCAGGGAGCAGCGGCCACGCCCCAGCCCTCAGCCTGGCCTCTGGCCGACCTGCTGGCCCATGGGAAGAGGTCAGAGCCCAGGCCTGGTGTCCACATTCCCTCTGGGAATTCTTCCTGGTCCTCTAGAGTGCCCCCCCCCCCCCCCCCCGCTGTGACTCAAGGCCACACATTTGGTGGCTTAAAGTAACCCCCAATTTTTTATCTTACAGTTCTGGAGATCGGACCCCAAAATGGGTCTCACTGGGTACTGTTCAGCTGTCAGCGTCCTTTCCCGAGGCTCCGGGAGAGAACCTGTCCTCTTGACTTTTTCAGCTTCTAGAAGCTTCTGCCACTCTCTGACTCACAGTCCCTTCATCTTGAGAGCTCTCATTGGCCCGCGGGGTCTCTCTCATCAGTCACTGTGGCCCCAGACCCTGCCTGGGTAGTGGCCCTCCCTCAGTGTCCAAGTGCCTCTGGCCACTCTCCCCCAGTCTTTGCTTCTGTGGTCACACATGGCCTGGGGTACTCAGGACCTTACCCCAGCTCTGCGGCCTGCAGAGTCTTTGCCATACAAGGAAACTCACGGGATGAGGACGTAGGGGGCTTTGGGGACCATTATTTAGCTTATATAGTCTCCCTGGTCACCCCCAGGGCAAAAGCCAGCCCCAGCCTCTCACATGGCCCTGGGTGATCTGCCTGCCTCCCCGTCTCCCTCTCTGCCTCTACCACACCGGCCTGGCCTCCCTGCTGCTGTTGAGCCTTTGTGGGTACCTGGAATGCTCTCCCTCTAGAACCCGACGTGGCTCCCTCCCTTCCCTCCTTCATATTTTTGCTTGTTGCCTTCTCAGTGGGGCCTTCCCTACTCAAAAATCTCAGCCCCCCAATACTCCTGACCCCCTCCCCTCTCTGCTTCCCTGTCACTCGTCACCATGAGACACATGGCACTTAGTTATTTATTGTGTTTCTCTCTCCCCTGCCCCGTGGCCTCCAGCCGGCAGGAGTTTCTGTCTGTTCAGTTTCCTGCCAGGGCTCATTTACTGCTGAGTAAGTCAAGGGGCCACAGGCCGAGGCCGCTCGGCACCTGCGGTGGGTGGGGCAGAACAGGAAGCTGCTGCCCGAGGAACTGGGTGAGACTCGGTGAGGGACTGGGTGAGACTGTGCGGCGATGCCAGGAGCTGGCTGCAGGCTTGGGGAGGCAGAATTCTGAGGGGGCGCCAGCTGCCTGAGCAGGGCGGGGCTCCAGCACCGAGGTAACCCGCCGGGACTGTCACCTGGGCCAGGTGTCCCCCTGGGGGCACCTGTGGGTGGGAGCTGCCTCGTGCGGGGGAGGGGCTCCAGGGGTCGCTGGAGGCCGCGGTCAGTTGGGGGCCCTCTGGTGGTGCCCATGAGGCCACCTGACCACCCCACCCTGTGAGGGCCTGGCACCCAGGCTGGGGGCCGGGCCGGTGGTTGGCGGAGCAGGTTGATGGCAGGTGGGGACCTGCCTGGTCCTCCCAGGGGCCTGGGGTGGGTGCTGGGTCTGGGCCGACTCCTCCTGTCCAGTTCTGGGGGCCCATCCTGCCAGGCCTCGTCGCCTGTGCAAGGACCCCAGAGGGCGGCCGAGTCCTTGTCCCCTCCACTCGCTCAGGACTTGGGCACGAGCTGGCAGTAAGGGGAGGAGTCGGGGTGCAGCAGGTCCTGGGGGGACAGGGAGGACGAGGGTGAGGGGAGCTGGGAAAGGAGGTGGGAGGGACGGAGGTGGGAGGAACCCAGGTGGCAGACTGTCACTCAGAGGGAGTGACACAGGGACACACAGGAGGGGACATGAGGGACTGAGACTCAGGCCCAGGAATGGTCTCAACTGGCGTCCTGACCCGCTGTGTGACTCCAGGCAATCCCTTATCCCTCTCTGGGCCTTGTTCTGCCCATGAAAGTCCCAGGACATGGACCCGTTCTACAGAGGAGGGGACTCCAGGCCCAGGAGGGGAGGGGGCTCGCCCCGGGCGTCCTGGGGAGCTGGGGAGTGGGCAGAGGGAGGACCGTCCCCGACCTGGTTGCCTGGGTCCCCACGTACCTGGTACTGGTGGGCCTCTGGCTCGGGCCTCAAGGGTAGAGGCAGGGACGGGGGCTGCGAGGAAAGAGCACAGGTGAGCTGGGTCCCCTCGGCGCCCCAGGACCTTTGACCTTTGAGGTTCCCGCAGGCCCAGATCCCAAGTCCCCTGGAAGCCCCTGGGGGCTGTGTTCGTGGGTCAGCCACCTGGCTCCTGCCCTTGAGCCACAGCCTTCACTTTTAAAGTTTCTCTTTTCATTAAGTTTTGTAATTTGTGGCCCCAGTGGAAGGGGAGACTGTCCCCGCCTGGGAAGTCCAGGAGGGTACAAGAAGCCAGGCCACCCGCCCGGGCGGGGACTAGGAGGGCCCACTGGGTCGTTTCCAGAATAAAACGCGTGGACCTTTGAATGTCACGTGACCTGAGTGTAAGGAGGGCCAGAGCGGGAGAGTTGGTGGCAGGTGACACCCCGTGGGCAAGCTCACAGCCCCTCGGGGGGGAGGAGGAGGAAAGGAAGCCCCTCCCACCCCCGACTGGCAGAGCTGAACTGTGTGTGTGCCAAAGGACACTGGATCCAAGGGACTTTCCTGCGACAAGAGACAAAGGGAGGTGGGGACAACTAAAGGGACACTTCTTTAAACAACCCAACAGGAAACGGAGACCAAGGCAATGTTGTGGACGACTGTGCACCCAGAGCACTCAGCCCGCAGCACTCAGCCAGAGCACTCAGCCAGAGCACTCTGCCCAGAGCACTGAGCCCGCAGCACTCAGCACAGAGCACTGAGCCCGGAGCACTCAGCCCATGAGGAACTGGAGGGATCTTGCCCTCCAGGGGATAAAACGCTGGTCGTGCCCAGCGGTGTGTCCCTGACCACCAACGACCCGGTCTTGCCAGACCATCCTTAAAGTAAAGCCTGGATCTTTGCAGACCTGTGTCCCTTGGTGTCTTCTTTGCGCCTGGCCAGGTGAGCGGGTTTCTCACGTGTGCCAGGGGCAAGGGCGACTTCCTCTCAGGGTCTTTTCTTTATGATTTTTAAAATAAGGAGGTGGGGAGGCTAAACTGGGTGTCAAGGCGCCCCAGGCACCGTGGCCAACTCGGAGGAGAGGCGCCCTGTTAGAAGCCGGTTTTAGGGCCCAGGCGCTGTGGTGACGCCTGTCATCCCAGCAGCTTGGGAGGCTGAGGCAGGAGGATGGCAAGTTGGAGGCTAGCCTCAGCAACTAAGTGAGGCCCTAAGTCACTTAGACCCTGTCTCAAAATTTAAAAAGTAAATAAAAAATAAAGAGGGCTGGGCGTGTGGCTCACTGGTCAAGTGCCTCTGGGTTCTGTCCCCAAAAACTAACAAAAAACCGGGCACGGCTTTAGGGGGCCATGAGGATGGGACTCACCAAGGCTGCGCTCGTGGGCCCCGTGTTACTGAGTGGGGTCGCCAGGAGGACTGGAGAGGGCATCACTTCGTACACATTGTTGTCACCTGAAGCAGAGGATGGAGGGGGGACCAGCTGGTGATGGCGCCCCAGCAGCTCAGCCCGTCCCTCCGTTGACTCATTCATTCGCTAACATTGGTGCCCCCCCAAGGGCACTGGGGAGCCATGGAGGGCTTCAGAGCAGAGGAGCTGGATCCAGGAATCCCGGGAGGGACCCTGGGTTCCCCATGAGGATCCCCCGCATGATGGCAGGAGGGACAGCCACCGAGAAGGAGGAGAAGCAGCTTGGGGGGGGGGCCCTGGGATTCTCTGGGCTGAGTCCAGGCCCCCAGGGAGGCCCCTGATGGGGGGACAGCGGAGGGAGGTGGCAGCTTACCGGTGTCCGCGCGGGGGCCCAGCTCCGGCTTCCCTGAGGCGGTCGCCCTGGGGTGCAGGGAGGGAGCCCCGTTAGGTGGTGGGTGGAGAGAAGCCAGGAGCTGCCCGGTCCTCCCTCCCTCCTGCCCTCGGGGGAGCAGGGACGCACCTGGGGCCCCTGCAGCCTCGGGTCACCAGGAGGAAGGCCAGGCTGCCGGCCAGCAGGAGCCCGGTGGAGAGGCAGCCGATGATGGTGGCAGCCAGGAGCCCGGCGTCCAAGGGCGGGGACGTGGCCGGCAGCTTCTGAGGCTTCTCTGGGGGACGAGAGAGGACAGTGATGTCCCGGGGCTCTGCCAGCCCTGAGGGCACAGAGTCCCGCTCTCGCCCCTCGAGGTCTCCGCTTCCAGGGACCTGCTGTCCCCTAGATGGACCTCCGAGGTGTCCCCACCCTGCTGCCCGCTCTGTGTCCCTCACTCCCAGCTTCAGAGGCCCCAGGTGCTGGCTGCGCTCCGTGGGAGATGTGGGGACTCGCAGGATTCTTGAACCTGCCCTCCCGGCTTGGACCCCAAGTCTACCTGACCCCCAGCCTGGGGACCTCCCAGGCTTTATTCTCAAGCTGTTGTCCCCAGCCCTCTGGCAGCTAAGCAGGTAGACTCTGAGGTCAGAATGCAGGGGTTCAATCCTGCTGGCTGTGTGACCTAGGGCAAATTACTCAACCTTTCTGTGCCTCGGTTTCTCCTTCTGGGGAGCAGGAGTAAGACTGCGACCTCCACTGTCCAACCAGGTGGGTTCTGTGTCGTTCCACAGACGAGGAAACCGAGGCACCGAGGTGGAACGACTCACCTGAGGGTTCATGGTGCTCGGGTCCTACCCAGGCCCCCTGGACACTTGACGATCCCTCTGTAGCTCCGAGACAGGGGCCCCGGGAGCCCCTGAAGTGGGTGTGAGTGACCTCAGGCTCAGTGGGAGGGGTCACCGTGTAGACTGTGTCCTTTGTGTGTATTTGTGTGATCAAATTAATTCGTAGTTTGTGTCTCTCATTCATTTCTCTCAACCTCTTCTATTCAAAGTGTCTGAAACCTGTTTGAAAATGTAACAGGGGACAGGGGGCCACCCACACCCAGGTTTGGGCTGTGTCCAGGCCTATCTGGCCATTGTCCCCAGCAAGGCGGCTCAGTTAAGCCCATTCTGCAGGCCCAGAGGCCGCCTTTGGCCCGGGCTGAGAGCTTTCTACTCTGGCGAATCCTGCAGGTGGCAAGATCAGATCAAGTGGCTTCTGCGGGTGACTCAGGCAGGTGGGGCCAGGCAGGAAGTCTCCAGCAGCCGCCCATCTCAGCATCAAGGTCCCCGCACCCCACGGCCCAGGCTTCCCGCGGCACCAGGGCTCTCCCTCCCGCCAGCCTCCGGGTTCGGCTTGCTCTGGCCCTTGTCAACCTCACGGAGGACACCAGGCCCTGCCCAGGGCCTGCCACAGCAAGTGCACCAGCCGCTCTGACGTCACTGTCACAGGCTGAATGTCCCTAATCTGAAAATCTACACCCCGATGCTCCAAAACTGCAGCTCCTGGAGTCCACATAACCCGAGTGGAAAATTCCACCCAGAAAAATTGCATAACGCCGGGCGCTGGCGGGTGGGGGGGCGCACACCTGCAATCCCAGCCGCTTGGGAGGCCGAGGCAGGAGGATCAGGAGTTCAAAGCCAGCCTCAGCAAAAGCCGAGGCCCTAAGCAGTTCAGTGAGACCCTGTCTCTAAATAAAACACAAAATAGGGCTGGGGAGGTGGCTCTGTGGCCGAGTGCCCCTGAGTTCAATCCCTGGTACCAAAAAAAAAAAAAAAAAAGTGCAGAAAACCCTTCCCAGGCTGTGTACATCAGGTGCCTGTGAAACATAAAAGTTTCCTGTTTAGACCTGAGTCCCACCCGCAAGACACCTAATTGTGTTTATGTCAGAATTCCAAAATCCAAACGTATCCCAAATGCAAACACTTCTGGTGAGATAAGGGACACCCAACCTGAATTGTCATTGTTATTTTCCTTTGCCTTGATTTTCTCCAACAATGACTAAGTCATTTAATTAATTAGGACATAAAGCCCATAAGTGAGGACGTCTGGAAGACGCTGCCTCTGGTAAGCTGAGGGCTTCTCTGAACCTCAGTTTCCTCTTCTGTAAAACAAAAGAAAAGCACGTATCCTTACAGGGCTGCTGGGTGACCACAGGCTGTTGGGGAGGGAGCTCTTCTGGGAGCTCATGCCCCAGGGGAACGGGGTGCAGCTGAAGCCATCGTCCCCTTCGGCCACCATGAGTTTTCTCACGGCTCTGCTGCCTTTGAGACTCTGCCGAGTCTCCATGGATGGCGGCGGCCTCCCTGGCCGTATAGAGTGAGCTCTGAATAAAACGGCCTTGGCTTTGCCCCTTGGTGGGCCTTTGTTTAGTTCCACGGCTGAAAGGGCAGCAGCTGCCCCTTCTCCAGCTGGGAGGCCCCGCGAGTCTCTCCAGCCCCGGCCTTGGATTTCCTGTATGAGAAATGGGCTCAACACGCCACAACCCGAGGAGGCGGAGGGCGAGTGTTCAGGAAGCGCCCTGACAGGACGCAGGCTGATGGACAGCCCTGGGTCAGGCCCAGAGTTTGGAGAAACCTGCGCAGAGTTGAAGGCACGAAGGTGCCACCAGGTTTGGGGACGACAGGCACAAGCCATAGGTGCTTCTGAGCCCAGTTTCTGCCACTTACTGGCCGGGGACTTTGGGCTTCCCTCTGTCTGCCTCGGTTTCCTCAACTATAAACTGGGGGCAGCCACAGTAGCCCCCCACCGCGGCTGCCCTAGGCCACGGTGTCCTGCGGCAGACTTGCTCTGCCACCCTCCTTTACAGTCAGGAACTGTTATGTGACACGGGCTTTCCCAGCCAGATGGACCCAGAGGGGACCCGCCCTGCGAAGCTGGTTCCCAGGATGCCCTTCTTGCTCTCCTGCCTAGCCGTGCCAGCTAAGCTCACAGGCCCTATGATATCCTGCCACAGGCCCTTTGCACAGGCCAAGCCTTCTGTCCAAACACCTCCCCCAGCTTCTTAGAACTTCCGTGAAGCCTGTTGAAGGGTCGCCTTTCGAGGGCAACTTCCCGATGCCACGTGGGTCCCCTGTTTACGCCCTCGTAACTCCTGTACGATTTTTCAGTGCTGCGACTGTTCCTAATGTTGTATTTTTATGAGCTGAGACCCAGGTACCATCTGTATTCCCTTTTGGGCAGAAGCCCTGGGAGGGCAGGGCCAGGGCTGCCTGTCACTACTGTGTCCTCGGCACCGCCCAGCCCAGGCGGGCACAGAGGAGGCCCTTGGGGAGCGTTTGCTGAAGGATGGGTACGTGAGCAACTGAGCCACTCAGTGCGCCTGGGAACCCCAGGCCTGCCTCGGACTCTGATGTCCTGAAGTCACCGGTGTCTCGATTCCCCCCTGAGCAGAGCAGAAATCCAGCCCCCGCTGCACTCGAGGGTCAGTCAGGTCACACCGCGAATCAGATCACATCCCTGTTTAAAACCCGCTAGTGGCTTCTCAGCAAATGCCCCCTATGGCCTGCGAGCCTGGCCTCCAAAGCCGCCTTGCTCACCCCTTGGAGCCTCTGCGACCGCTGTCTGCGCTCTGACTATACACCAAGCCGGCCCAGCCCCAGGGCCTTGGCACCTGCCGCTCCCTCTGCCAGGGCCTCTGTGCGGGTTCCCTCCTGTCCTGGCTCATTAAAGCCGCTGGAACCGCGCAGCGTACACCAGGTGCCTTGGAAACCGTGGAGTGTGGTTCTTACAGTTCTGGAGGCTGGGAGTCCACGGTCATGGGCCAGCATGGTTGGGCTCCGTCAAGGGACGCTGTCTTCCTGCTGGGTCCTCACGTGACAGGGGCTGAGCCGCTCTCCTGGGTCTCTTCTAGAAAGGGCCCTGACCTCGTCTGCAGAGGCTCTGCCTTCTGGCTTCATCACCTCCCAGTGACCCGCCTTTTGGTCTGGGGACACAGCTCAGTGGTACAGTCAGTACTTGCCGACGGGCACAAGGTCCTAGGTTCCTCCCCACCGTCACCAAACAGCAGGGATAAATGCCAAAGGCACCACCTTTTTTTTTGTCCTGGGGATTGAACCCAGGGGCACTCGGCCACGGAGCCCCACCCCAGCC